TTTCCAAAAAAAAATTGCTCCAGCTATTAATAAAAGAAAATGTATAATATATACTCCCTCCGTCTTAATTTATAAGATGTTTTTAGATAAAATTTTATATACTAATAAACCTCATTAAATACACTTAACAACTTTATTTTTTTAAAATAAAATATAAATTTTTAAAATACCCATCATTTAATATATTAAAAAGAGAAAAGATAAAAATTAATTATAAAAAGAGAAAGAGTTATATTAAAATTAAAATATTTAATGAAATCTTAATTTATTTAAAATATCTTATATTTTGAAATGAAAAAACTCTTTTAAAATATTTTATATTTTGGGACTGAAGGAGTATCAATTTTATGTAAAAATAATATTGAAAATTTTCTATCGTTCGTCGCTTTATATTGGCGGTCACGGTGACGACATTTTTGTTTCTTTTTTTATAGTCATTTAACAATCAGTATGCTGGTTGGTCCAACTTTGAAAGGAATAGTTCTTCAACCGGTCAAGTTTTGAGCTTTGAGAAGGATAACGTTTTAAATTGAACCGACCATAATCGGCAATAGGGGCAGAGAAATTGACTGGCCCCGAGCGTGAAATTTCTTCCCCTTGCTTGCTTTTCAAATTTCAATTACTTTAATGACAGAATCTTCTTTAGCGATTCCATCATATATTATGATTCTTTATTATTGACCGAATTTTCTCGTGAGAATGATGGCGAAAATCAAAAACTTTCCATGACATGGATGGAAGTAATTGGCGGAAAGTCAACAAAAGGATTTTCTCCAATATCCCTGTCCATTTCGGGCTAAGATTTTTTTATTCTCTTTATAAATTATTTTTAATATATTTTATCAGTATTAAAAAATTTAAAATTTATTAAATCTATATTAAAATTTAGTAAGTTTTGAACATTATTTTTATTAAATATACATAATTTAATATCATATTTTTTTCTCCCCAACATTTAGTAGAAGGTAAATAAAATAAAAAATTTATAATAAAAATTTAATGATGTAACTGATAAATAGAATAAAAAAATTATTTTCTATGTCCTATAAATAGGACAGCGCGGGAGTAATTAATACTTACAAATATATATATATATATATAAAAATTAATCACTAAATTCTCTATTTGGTAGGTGGATAATTACTCAACGGTGCGCGTTGAATTCTGTATCCCAGGTCGAAATTGGATTTGCCTTGCCGACACTGTCATTGTAGGGCCGGCCCATTCAATTCAGGATGCAAAATCTACAATAGGCCCAGATATGCACTTTCCTGTAGATGTCGGGTGATCATGAATCCAATCTGCTTCCTAGTGCCTACGGTCCGCATACCCTATATGGTATTTGAAAATTAGTCTTGAGTTTGAAAAATTTAAAGACAAAATTATCCTTGTTTGTTGTAATTTTTGAACAAAAGTGTCCCTGTGAATTTTGCCTTCAATTGTTCAACATATCTAGCAAAAGCTCATCACCATCGTGGCTGCAAAGCGCTATTCTCCATTCCCTCTATCAATCTTAGGACAAGCGCTCAGCTCCATGGTCAATTTCCATCATCACAAACCTTCATCCTTGGAGCAAAGAGTGATTGTGGCGAATGGGTAGAGGGCGAGAGTAAATGAAGAAGGACACCCCATGAACAAAGCATATCGCAGAGCCAGATTTCTCATACGAGATTGACGCCAATGACTTGGAGCTAGCAAGTTTCAACAGGGCATTCAGAGCAGTGGAGGAATAGGGTCGTGATAGGGGAGGGAGGGCTGGGTTCGCTTGCAACAGAGAAGATGGGTTTTTAGGGTCACAATTTCTTTATTAATTATAAGGTATTATGATATTTTCATAATTTATGTTTAATTATAAAATAAAATAAAAGGAAGTATTTCTTTCAATTATTACATCATACCAAACTTAATTTTCAAGTCTCAATACCAATTCCTCCAGACTTAGGCATGCATGACAGGGTTTAAAGATATAAATTTGGTCATCAACTATTTTTTAAGAATGCTTGATAACTTATACTATAAGATAATGCGAAATAAATTTTTAACTTTAAAAGATAGAACATCTAGCAATTTTCATTAATTTTATTTTCCAGATGTTAACTTTTTATGTGAGACCCATAGTTTTTTAATTGAAAATGACACGTGGCACTCCACCTCACACAAATAAAAATATAAATTTAATTATGAATTAATTTTTAAGAAGTACTGAGTAACATTTATTATAAAAAATAAATCATTTAGCACCTTCCCATCAATTTTGATCAAATGAGTTAATGTTCAAACTAGTGAAACTCACAACACGTCAATTTCTCCCATCTTTTTGTATTTATTCTCAATCTCAACTCAAGAAGAAATTGTTTAAAGAGTTTTCATGTAAAGATATTTTCGAGAACAACACTAACGAAGTAGCAAGATTAATTCAATCGCTTCATTTTTTATAAAAATAATTCATGGCTAAGTTAAGCTTGAATCAAGTTTCTTCCATGCTTAGTAGCATTGTGATTTGAATTGCTAGTTCGCTTGAATTGTCAAAGAGATTTAAATGAAACTTTGTCTTCTTCCTTTTCTTTTATTTTGTTGGCATCATTCTTGTGAATGTTTCATATAAAAACTTTTAAATATCTTCTTCTCAAGCTAAGATTAAGAACAAAGATAAAAAGATTGGAGAAATTGACTTATTGTGGTCCTATAAATCTGAAAATAAACTGCGCTTGGTCTAAATAAAACTGAAGGTATTGGATGGTCTATTTTTTATAATAAAGACTATTTAATTCTCCTTAAAAATAGTTTATAACTAAATTTACACCTTTATTTGTTAAGGTTGAATGCCATGTCAATCCGATATTTGTGGGTCTCATATGAAAAGTTAACAACCATCAAATAAAAATTAATGAAGACTACTGTGTGTCTAATTTTTTTAAGGTTAAAAATTTATTTCACACTATCTTATAGTATAGACTACTCAATATTCTTGAAAAAATAGTTAAGAACCAAATTTACATCTTTATCTAAAAAAAAAAAATCATGCCCCCATAATTTCAGTAAGCATAGTTTCACTTTGCTTGTTAATGCCACTATTTTGTGTCGAATTCTGTAACGCCCTACCCCCAGAAAAAGCAAGGATTCTTGAATAATATTTTCCATCATATTAAGAGTATATTTGAATTAAAAAATTCACAATTAAAGTTAGGACTCAACTAAGCTTGATAAACTGAGATTAAAAAAAAATTTATATTTGTAATGTAATTTATGTTTGGATATCTTTTTTTTTTTAGAAGTCAGTTACACAAACTAAAATTTGTTTGGATGATTTGATTTAAAAGCCAATTAAGATGCATAATGACAAAAATGGACATGAATATTTTGTGTGTGTATATATTTTTGCCATCATTTTTATTTTTTAGAAAAAATATTACACTTTAAATTACAATTTTATTTTTTAAAAGTTAGAATTTAAAAATCTAAAATAAATTGATAGATTAAAAATTTTTAAATTTTATAAATGCGTCACACTGATTTTGAAAAATAAAATTACACTGCTACTAAAATATAAATATTGTTTATTATTAGTTTAATATAATAATAATTGATGATTTAATGATTCAATTTGTAAATTCACAAATTTCTTTTCCTTTTTGTTTTTTCTGGAGCCTTGTGCAGATAATTGACGCGGAAGCCTTCACGCCGCGCAGACTCAGCATCGCCGTTGCTTAAAAGGTCTCCATCATATGAATCACACTCTCTGCTGCCGGTAGCCTCCTCCTCCACTGAAGCTCTACTGCTATAGATCTTGTTGAAGGAGGTGGAGATCGGGCACCTCTGTTCAAAGCAGGGACACTCGATGAAAGGGAAGGGATGATAGCAACACACAAGACGGAGAGCAGGTCTCAGCGATGGCGGCAGCGGCGGCTGTCATCACTCATTAGATACGGCGGACTTAGGAGAGTGAAGCGCGAGCAAGGGATGAGCTACCATGGGACAACGGCAATGAAGAAGTGCTTCAGTTCAAGCTCGTTTAGAGATAGATGGAGAGAGAGAGAGAGAGAGAGAGAGAGAGATAATGCCCCAACATTCATAATCCCCAACATTGATGAAAAAACTACGGTAATCAGCTCCATTAAAATTGCTCGTTTGCACCCCACCTGTGGTTGAAATTTTTTGGGTATCCAAACTTGATAAATTGAGCTTTTAGTATTTCAATCTAAGTTTGGGCCATCCCAACCAAAGTTGGGATGTAATCCAAACATGCATTAAATCTTACTATAGTAGGGCTCCGATTTCAGCTAGTTCCTTTTTTTAAATTGTCAGTCTTGAAAAAATAAAAAAGGGTTCATGCTAAAGATGCTTCATTCTCTCAAATTCCAAGAAACAGTTCCAACAGGTTGCCACTCAAACAATTGCCAATCTGTTCTCATCTTCTTTACCGTCAGCATTATTCTGAGATTCTAATTATCGAAGATGGAACAGGAAGCAGAACAAGTGTACTTTTCAGAGTGTCGAGTCTCGTGTACATGACGATTATGCTAACAAACATCTGACAAACCTGATGAACTCGCATATAGTTACAAGACCGCAGAGTAAACTGATTATTTGATTTTAGGCAATGTGCAAATCATGTTTTATAACTCAACAAGATTCTTCCGGTGCATATATAGTATCGATATACGGACAGCATGAAATTTTGTTCGTAAACATGGATTTCAACGAGCACAATCAAATAACAGTGTATGCACAAAAGGAAACTCTCGCCAATGATTTTGGGTCTCTTTGTCTGTTTACTAACCATTTCGTTTAGGAAATTCAGATTTATGTTCAAAGTTTAATTTATATCTGCCTTGTAATTTCTGCTCAATCAAAGGTTGTTGGTGTCCTCACTCTAACCATTTCGTAAACTGCATAACATAACTCTATCTCCAAATGAAATATCATCCTGCATAAAAACTTGGGTTGTTGCTTACTTGTTTACTAAAAAAAAAAAAAAAGAATAATGAAGACGGTTAAAGTAGTTGTATAGGACTTCGAAGCCATTGATGAATTAAGGGCACAAGTGGGTGAAGAATATAATTAGAACAAACTAGGAATAAAGAAACAAGATTGTGGAAGATCTTAAAGTATCTAAGCAGCTATCTTGTTCACCCGAAATGATTCCATTACTCGACGAAGATCACTTTCCTCTTCTAAAAATACATTTTCCGGTGCCTGCAATCTCAACTCGTATAATTGGTTGTTTTCAACTCCAAGGACAGATAGGTACCTCCGGTCCCATTCCAGACGTACCACTCGATCTTGTGGCATCACAGCCAGTTCATTATTATTAGCGTATGACTTTATGTTTACCTAGTACCAACAAAACAATTTAATCAACTAATCAACGGACGTAATAAGATTTCTACTCTAATCTCATGATGAATAAGAAGTAATTGTGCAGCTAATATTGTCAGTAAAAAGACCAACCTCGACTTCATAGTATAGCCTGCCATCATCAGCAACTCTTGAAGACGTGCTGAGAACATTTGATTCGCGTCTTACACCAAGCCTTGTAGACATAAACTCAGTCAAATACTGCTTGAGTACTCTCTTTCCTGCTTCCTCGGGAGGACCCAATTCTTCAACACTCTTGTATCTGGAAGATGAAGGCGAAGACACTTCAACTGATATATTCTCATCCAGAACATAAGGGTCCCTGAAGAATATGTCAGCCCCAGCACCTCGGACTTGGATCCAGTTCCCGGGATACTTGAATGAATAACCATCAAATGTGTCTACATATTCTCTGAACACAACAGATTGCTGAGCTTGAGCCACTGCAGCGCCATGCAAGGCAACTTCTGAGATAACATAACTTGATAAGGTCAAAAACATTGCTTTCCTCCTTGGAACTGCAAGAGCTTTGGTCTGATTATACATTAGCAGAGATAATCAAAGGCCATTAGCAGATGGCCCAGTGCCAAGATGGAAAAAGAAGACAATATCAACAAAATAGACGGATGTTCTGAGGAACACGTGCAAATATAAAGAACAAATGTTTAGGGAAGGTCTTATATTGTTCCTCTCCTGGGTTTTCACTCCTTCCATATGTACCAATCTCTTAAATATGTGCTTCCCTGTCTACTTTTCAATCCCTCGATTACAGATTATTCAGTGTTCTGCATTGTTGTTACTTTATCATGTTTGCAGGAAGGATCACAGACTTTAGAGCCTTTGCTTCTCTTTCTGTTGTAAGAATAAGAAGTACTGATTTAAAATGATAGAATGGCAATAAACATCGCGTATGCTCCACTGGCTAGTTAAATGTATATCGTGGACCGATACAGAAGAAAAGGTGGGCAACCATAAAAAGACCTCAAGGTTTCTTCTTCATATCTATTTCCAACTATCAGCTTTAAGCATTCATTTTGCGAGCAAAAGATGCGGTGCATGCCTCTAACACAGTTGCAGGGAAAAATTAAACAGCGAATACAATTAATAGAAGAATGCTTTGAAAAAAAAAAAAAAAGACCCAATTGAGTAGTTCTTTCATTTCTCTTGTGAAACCAACAGAAATGGTCTCAGGGTCTTCAACCAATAAGTCAGTAACACAAATTGATTCGGATACTGCTCAAGAAATAAAGAACAAACCATCCTAATGCCCCGCCTTTGTCTTCTGATATATTCAGATTCAGTACATTGAGTACGAGAAGACCCGAGGAACCTAACAAATGTTAATGGAAGATAAACATTAAAAGTGCAATTTTGGGTAGGATTACCGATTGGGATGCGGAAGAAGCGGAGCAGCTGCAGCAGCGAGTGGAGCGGAGGGAGTGATTAGGCAGACCCCAGGAGCTGGTGGAGGAGAAAAGGGGGAGTCGGAACGACGTCGCATGTTGCGGGGGTAGCAGGATTATCGGGGACAGGAAACTCGAGATTATAGCCATGGTACGAGAAGAGAGGCTGAACACAGGGAAAGTAAATGGATTGGGACGCACAGCAACTGGAGACTGGAAGGGGGCTTGCAAGTTGCAAAGACAGGGCCACGATCGTGTGCGACCAAATATAGCGCCAGACGCTGTTTCCCTCTTTACAGATGCACGAGGTGTCCCTTTATGTTGGTTACTAGGGTGGATGAAAATTATAATCCCATAGCTCGAGTTAGCAGTTTATGCCGGATGGTACATTGAATGTTCAAGTGCCCGTTTGGATAAGGAGAAAACGCGCGTTTTGGATTCAAAATTAATTTTTTCTGTCAATCTATCTAAACAGTCAAAAATGATCAAAAATCGATTCTGGGTCAAAACGCGCGTTTTTCCCGAAGCTCCCTTCGCTGCCAAAAGTTTGTAAAAACGTTGTGGAAAATTACAAAAACAGACCCAGGAAAAAATTACAAAGAAAGCACATAATTTAATAAAAATAAAATTAAACTCTCTTCTTTTTCTTTTTTTTTCCTTATTTAAAGTTTATATATTTAAAAAATTAATATTTGATATTTAAAAATTAAATTATATAGTTAAAAATTAATTTTGATTAAATTATCCAAATATCTTCAATTCTGTTAAAATCAATTTTAAAAAAACAGTATCCAAACAGATTACGTTATAACATAATCAATTATGATTAAAATCTACCACTTAATCAATTATTTTCATAATCTATTATACCCAACTGAAATCCAAATAGACCACAAGTATGGAAAAGGGACCTCTCACTTGAGGTGGTGAATAGACTTGTTAAAATTTGGCCTCCTCCTAATGGAGGGATTGATAGTTTTTGCTAAAAAAATGATCCTACTGTTAATTTCACAGTTAGGGCAATTTATAATTTCTTGTGTAATAGCTAGGAGCTAAACAGAGGCATGACATGAAGATCCATATAGAAACTACCAATCCCTGAAAAAATTAAAATGTTCTTATGGCAAGTTAACCATAAAAAGCTTCCAACAAATCTCCTAAAAGCTAATAAAAATATCGGTGATTGTGCTTTGTGTCCATTTGAGTATGCTTGGAGAAAATTGTTTTGCATATATTGAAAGACTGTGTTGTGACTTCTGAATTGTGGTCCAAATTTCTTAACTAGATGTTTTTGTCCAGATTTTTCTCTCTGTCCTTACAAGAATGGCTGTGTTAGAATTTGAAGCAAGAGATAAGAATGAGTGAATTCAATAGATGGCCTTAGAGAAAAGTGTTTTGCTTTGACTGCTGGAATCTTTGGAAAAACAGATGTCATGTGTAACATCCCAATTTAAATTTTAATAGTTAATTTAGGTTAATAGAAATTTAAAAAAAAATAATATTTAGAGGTAAGAAAATTAGTAGAAAATGATTATTAAATCTAATTTACGATATAATTCTAAAAAAAATTTAAAAAAATAATAAAATAATAAATTTATTAAAAAAATTAATTAAAAAAATTATTAAATTATTATTATAATAAAAAAGGGGAAAAGGTATGCCAAAAAAAAAGGAGGAAGAAGAAGAAAACGAATTTGCTTTCGGCGCCGCATGAATAGTAAATATAAAATAATAATAAAAAAAAAGGGGGGAGAGAGAAGAAGAAATAATAAAAAAATGTGTGGGACCCACTGAATTTTTATAAAACTCACCCGTTTCCTTTCATTTCTTCAATTCCTTTCCTGCGCGCGAGCTGAGGCGGAGAGAAGCGAGTTGCCGGTGTGAAATATCTAAATTTTTAAGGTAAGAGTTTTTAATAGGATATTTAGGATGTGATTTTAAGCTTTTTAAGACTAAGTAAGTGTTCTAAAATTTTTTCTTAATCATCCTTCTTCTTTGGTTTCTGAGTTTGTAGTGGTAGAAAATTTAAGATCTGGAAGAGGGATGAATTTATGTTGAATAAATATGATTTTTGAGGTTGTCAGTAGTATAATAAATGTTCTAGAGTATAAATTTATTGATGATCTTTGAATCTGTGGCTTGTGGATCAAATTCTAAACTAGATCTGAAAATATATGTTGATTTATTGAGGTTTAGATGATTATTTGGGATGAGAAATGAATTATTATGGTTATAGGATTATGATTCTAAGCTAGAGACTTAATTTTTAATTTTTGGGTATTTTAGGTACGAATTTATAAAATAAAAAGAAAATTTTGATAATAGAAATTAGTTTAAAATTTGATTTTTAGATTATCAATGTTTATTGATAATTAAAAGAGGAGTTAAAAATTTTACTTAATAGTATTAACTATAGATTTGTATTAAGATTGAAATTAGGAATTATATTATATTTTTAATTCTATTATTAGAATTATTTTATTAGTTTCAAAAATTGAAACTAATATTTATAAATAATATGTTATTTATAGATTGTATTACTGGTGAAGATTGTGGTGAGAGGAAAATTTTAAGGAATAATTTATTGAAAAAGCCACAAGGTAACCACGCTTTTAATTTGTGATTAGTGTTACTTCATGTTAATTGGGTGATTATTGAGAAAATTATGAATTTTGTAATATTGTATAATTGTGCAATATTATTATGAATTTGTTTGATTATTGTGGGAGGTGTTGGGAGACTTGCTATTATTGTTGTATTTATGTGCCACGTGGTACGCCCCTATTGGAGCTCAATAGGTGGTTTGTAAGGGCTCGGGCTAATCTACCTTTGGCCGGGTAATTTAGCACCGAGTGAGGGCTACGGCTCGAGGTTAATGGAGGGATATAAGGATGGTTGTTTATGTGTATTGTATTATTTCTTATATTTATTGGAATTATATTATTTTTAATTCTCACTTAGTAAACACACACTTAACTGTTTGTATACACTATCATAAATTGGCTTTGGTTACTGGGACTTTTGAGTCTCATTATGTGGTTAACAATTTTCAGGAGAAGAGCCACGAGTGACACGTGGAGGAGTCCCAGAGGCTTAGTGGTATAGATCCACTGTCTCTTTTGGGTATTTAATTTATGATTTATAATGTGTTATATTGCCAATATTAGGGCTTTTTGTTTATTGTCAATTATATGAATATATAAATGTAATCATGCCTTTCAAACTATTTCTATTTTTAGTACAATTTGGATGACTGTAATTTTTATATTTGGTTTACTTTGGATTGGTTAAAATGGCATGATTATAAGGCCAAATAACTGGCTTGTGTTAAAAATTTATTAAATTGCTTATTTTACTTGTTGGGAGTATAAGGATGGACAAATGTGATTTAGCCTAATGGCATGTGGGAGGTAAAAATTTATCTGAAATATTAATTATAAAATATTTTATATTGAAATTATTGATATAAAAATGTGTTGGGTGGCTGTAACCCAACTATGGTTGAGTTAAATTATTTAAAAAAAAAATTTGGTGTGTTACAAATTTTGGTATCAGAGCTACATGTTTCAAATTCTTATAAACTATGAAATTGTTATACATTAACCTAGTTTATTGGCAATATACATTAGTAAATCATAATACTTCTCCATTATTTTTCTTGTCTTGAGATTAGTGTTAATTTAATTATGTGACTTCCATCCTTTAGGAGGGGAGAGATGGTGTCCAAAACTAGGAGAGGTGGCGAAATTGTCGGTGATTCTATAGAGCCAATAGGAAATGACATACCTTCACTGCCACAACCGGAGCCCACACAGCAACAAATTGGGCAGGGCGAGCCCATACAGTCACAACTAAGGCAGGATGAGCCAACCATGAGGCAAATGATGGATCTACTATATAATCTTAGTGACCGCATGAAGAGACAAGAAGAAGATTGGCCGCTTTAAGACAATATAAGGAGAATTCCAACCGAGAGGGAAATGGCCAACAAGAAGGAAGCCATACCAAGGTATTTAATGCGAGCCAATCTGCTGATGAAGGCTCACCTTCCTATTCTCACCATGAGACTAGTCCGAAGAATGTGAGTCTCCACTCTGAGCAACAGACATCCACGATCACAAAGATTGGAGTACTTTTCGTAAGTTTAATCCTCCTACTTTCGATGGAAATCTTAAGCCAGCGGTGGTTGAAGAATGGATAGATCAATTGGAGAGTATTTTTCGTATGGTTGTGTGCACTTCTAATCAAAAGGTGCAGCTGGCAATATTCCTACTACAGAAGAGTGCTAAGAAATGGTGGGAAACATCAGGACCGAAGGATGATTCCTCTCTTACTTGGGAAGATTTTAAAGCCATATTGTTCGAGAATTATTTTCCTACTGCACTGAGAGCAGAAAAGGAGGCTGAGTTTCATGCATTTCGTCAGGGTGATCTAGATGAGGATGAATTTATTGAACAATTCTCAGAATTATCTAAATACTCTACTTACCTCCAGAAACATGAAGATACAGAGTGGATGGCTGAACGATTACTAGAGAAGGCGAGGCCTGATCTAAGGGAACAGTTAGCCCCTTTTGAGATCAAGACATTCAGTGAGATGTGCAATAAGCTTCGAATAGTTTCTCGGAGGAAGAGAGAGGCTAGATTAGAAGCTGATAGAGAGAGGAGGAAAGAACCTCATGGGAAGCCCCCTATCCACACCAGACCCATTGGTGGAGTAGAGAAGAGGAGCAGTCAAATCTTTGGAGGCTTTAGAAATCAGAAGAAGAAGGGCTACTATCATAAGGGCCAGAGCTACAGAGGGAATCAGAGTGGAAGTCAAGGGTCCTATAGGAGCCCAGCTACCTTTAATCCTACTCCTAGTGCTGCTAGTAATCAAGCATGCAGTAAGTGTGGGAAGTTTCATTCTGGTGATTGTTGGGTTTGTTACATCTGCCAGAAGCCTGGTCATATTGCCCGATTCTGCTATCAAAATCAGAATAGGGGTAATGATCAGAGACCTACAGTACCAGCACGAGTGTATGCCCTCTCTGGGCCAGAGGCTGCTAACAACCCTAATGCTATCCGAGGTATAATCCGAATCCTTGATAATGATGTTTGTGCTTTGTTTGATTCGGGTGCTACACACTCTTTTGTGTCTGATGAATGTATGAAAAGATGTAAATTGCCTGTGTGTACCTTACCTTTTGATGTGAAGATTTCTACTCCTGCTGGTTTGACTGTAAGGACTGCTAAGGCATGTCTAAATGTAGAGGTTGAGTATGAGGGTCGAAAGACCACCATAGACCTCATTTGTTTGTCTTTGTCTGGGATTG